TTATAAATGCAATTATATAAATGCATTTAAATAGAAAAATTAGGTTAATTATTGTTAAATATAACTTATTTATATTAATTGAACTATTAATACATTTATAATTATTTTAGGTTTGAATTATTTACTGTATAATAGAAATTAGAAAAATATTTATTAATTTAATTAATATTTTTCAAGTTAAATATATATAGTTATTGTATAAAAAAAATGTCTAATAAATTTTCAGCTAAAAAATTATTGCCCGAAAATCAGGTATACAAGTGGTCGGCCTATCATTTATACCGAATCGGCTTAAGTAACCATCGATTCGTTGGCGTCGCCGATGATTGTTGTCCTCAGAGACTATGGTTTAATCGACCGATTTGTATACTAATTGTTTCAATTGTCTATCTAATTGAACGCACTATCTGTTTGTCTATACAAACAGATGATTGGCTAATATATGGCCAGTTAGGCGATTGGGGATACTTTCTAGATATCCAACTAATATCGGATATTTGTTGTCCACTAATCGATATGTTTACAATAGTATCGGTACTAATCTATGTCAATAACTATATCCGGGGTATTGAACCTCGATTTTTACGGGTATTTGAAAAGATGTCCGGTTTGCCGGGACGGACACCACTGTCGGTCGGTCTAACCGATCACCTAGAGATCCAGAAGCTTATCCATCGGTTGAAATTGTTGGGCAATTATTGTCGATTGTATAATACATATTTTGGACCATCGTTTACATTTGATTTATGTCTATATAGTTATTTGACTAATCTATCAATTTATTATTCACTAGTATATGGTCTACCAAATAGCCTATTGTTTAGCTTATGGACCTATTATATGTGGAATATATTATATTATCAATTGATCTACTTTTACATACTGTGCCGCTATCTAAAGCTCCGGCAGTTTGAAATCAATAGACAATTAATACAACTATTGTCAGCTAATAGTAAAACAAATACTACTACTAAACGTATTGAAACAATAATGAAATTATTTGATAAATTATTTGTCGACATATCCGACTATAATCAGACTTATTGGTCAAAATTTTTACTAAACATTTGGCTAACATTTGGTACAACTATTGCTATATTTACTAATAATCTGATGTTTAATTCAATGAATTTATTGATGAAATTATTGCTAACCTATTGTATTATTGTTTCTTTGATTGCATTTCTATATATTATATTAACGGCCGCTTCGGTTACTACCGGTGCCGATAAATCATTGAAATTGTTAAACAATTATTTCATTAATCAATTGTAATCTATATATCTATCTATATGTAAGTATGTATGTATTTGTTGTATAGTCTATAAACATTACTATTGATATATTAATATTAATTTATTATTATTATTATTATTATTACTATATATTGATAATTAGATTTACAAAAAAAAATATTTTAGTAATTTATTTTTAGTTATTACATACGGATATTAAACCCAAATTTTTGCGGGTATTTGAAATGATCTCAGGTTTGCGTACACCCCTTGCGGTTGGTCTAACCGACCGCCAGGACATCCATAAGCTAATCAATCGTATGAAATATTTATCAATTAATTGCCATAAAAATAATACATATATACTAACAGTTATGTCATTTTTGATTGTATTAATCGGTTACTATTCAAAACTTTCAATAACTTTTTGTATAGTATATGGTATACAAAATGCATTGATATTTTCATTAATATCTTATTATTTTTGTAATTTAATTTTATATCAATTAATCTATTTTTATATACTATGCCTGTATTTAAAACTAAAATTTACTAAAATTTATAAACAATTTAAACAATTGTCAACTAATAGCAATCGTTTCAAATCCTATACAAATTGTAAACCTATTATAGATATTATGAAATCAATGGACAAATTGTTTGTCGAAATATACGATTATAACCGGACTTATTGGTCAAAATTTTTATTATACATTTGGCTAACCTATGGTACGGCCAATGTCTATGTTTTAGATATTATATTATTAGTTTCGTTACCTATTTTACCTAAAATTTTAATAATTTATGGCTTTATGTTTGCATTGTTAGCCTATTTAAACATTATAATAACTGCGGCATCGGTTAACTATTGTATGAATAAATCATATAAATTACTAATTAATTATTACATTCAACATAATAGTTACTAATTAAATTTACAATTATTTTAGATATAAAAAATTTTTTTTTATCATAAAATATATTTACTGTATAAAAAATATAGTTTTATTTTAAATTAAATTATTAGTAATATTTTTTTAGTAAATTAATAATCAAGAAAATAATAATAATTATCGTAATAAACAAGTTATTGATATTGTTTTTTATCAAATAATATTTATATATTGATTAATTTTATATACATTTATATATAAATATGATATTATTATATTTTTTATATTGCTATATTAGATAAATATAATAAAATTTATATAAAAAATAATTAAGATAAAATTTCAATGAATTTAATTAAATTATGTATAAAATAATTATACTAATTAACATTAACAACAATTATATTGTAACAGTATTTGGTACGTAATAGCTGAATCATTAGATTAAAGACTTATTTAGTAAGGTATGTAAACCGATGTCCCGTCCTACACCCGTATTTGGACCGACGACAGGGTTGATGCGCACAACTCGGTTGTCGGTCTGGTATAATTAGGTGGGTAGTCGTTGAGGACGGGGGGCAGAAGCAGAAGTACAGTAAACACAGTCAGTTGTTATGTAAAAGTCGGTTACAACCGTTACCCAACATTTTGCTGATTATAATTGTTGTAAAATTGCTATTAATTGTGTTGAAAATAAATATTACAATTATGAGTGAGTGTGACTAATTAATTAACAACTAGCCAACGATCAGCAGTCGGTTGGACGACCGGGAGCCCGCACCAGGACCGCCGCCCACCCACAGGAGGCGAAGCAGATTTTCATTCAAGTAGCCAACAATGTCTGGCCAGCGGAAAGCGAGATTGCCGACACCGTTGACTATTTTATCAGAACTCGGGATGAAAATGCCCAATAGATCCACATTCGACATTTTCCAACTACAGGTAAGTCCAAGAAAGAAAAAACGCAAATATAAAATGGCCTAACAATTAATTCATAAACAAAAACCACAGTAAGTAACTTTATTTTATTTTGTTTTTTTTATAATAAATGTCTGCTTTGTTTGTTAAAATTATTAATTTTATAAAGATTATAATTTTCTTATTATAACTTAGTAAGTCAATTTTAAGGTAGTGTCCATTAGGTGGACAAACTGTTTACTATTTGAAGCCATATTTTTAATTACTATTTAATGAAATGTCGTTATAATTGCCAATATTTGACATACTTATATGAAATAATTGACTACAATAGTGCTGTATATCTAGTTATAAGTATTGATAAGTTTATTATTAATTTTATTTTATAAAAAAATACATTTTTTTCAAATAACTTGGATGTGTTGGTGATCACTGTCATTATCATTGAGCTCTTTTGCAATTGTTTTGCTAACCAATTATCTAGTTATCTAGTGTATAGCAGTAACAACAATGATTAGGCTGAGCGGTAACGGTGTCAACCGTTTGTATCAAAAGCTCTTGTTTTATCTGAAAGCATATCTGTTGCAAATATTGATTCAGTCAATACAAGCAATGATGGAAAAGCATTATCATTGATAGCCATTTAAGGCCGAGTGTCTCGGTGCTCGCGCTATCCATTGGACAAAGCATTTCTTATTGACTGAAAAATAATTTTATATAAAGACATAAGAGATGATTTAAAACTATTGATTTCACTACCGATTAAGTCTTTTAGCGTACATCCCATTAATGAATCATTGAATGCATTGCCCAACATATTGTTTGATAATTTTTCAACCATAGAACGGATATATATCTCATTGTCTTCTCTGGTGAAGATTAATTTAAGATTTAAAATTAAAGATTGAAGAAGCAGATGCATATGCTTTCTAGGTGTTACATCTAGACTGGAAAAGACATTAATAGGGTTATTATTGACTAATAACTTGATAGACCGCCTCCCCTTTCAAGCCATCCGTCGCCTCCAAGCACTCGTATCATTAAAACTGCTATCAAACCGAATAAATGAATTACCGGACGACGGTTCCACCCGATTGTTATCCCTTAGGAGTCTAGATCCACACTATAAAAAAAACCAAGCGTTTGGATTCACTATCATTCAAAACTACTTCTAAATTAGTTAATTTTTCAGTAGCTAATATCAACTGATTTAGCAATTGATCTATTTTTGGGTATATCTTGAATTTAAAGAATCTAAACTTAAGTTTCAATGAATTAACTGGTATTGACTTGAATAACATGAAAGTTTTGCGAAGTATATTATTATGTAATAATGAATCAATCAATACAATTAATTAAATTCAATAGCATTACTGAATCCGATTGTTATTAGAGAAGTTTTGTATCGCATAATAAATTTGAAAAAAAAAATTTTGCAAAAAAATTTTTAGTTTATTTTAATAATATTTTTTTTTGTTATAATAGTTAGTTCAGACTTTCAGTTAGTTTGCAGAAAATTTTTAACAAAATATTTTGTATAACATTCAATATCCATTTAAAAATATAACATACAAAAATTTATTTATTTATATACAGTACAGAAGTAACTTTTATAAAATAAGTTATATAAACATTTTATGCATAAATCAATCTCTTTAATTACAGAGAATAAGCTTTTTTTTAACTTTGTATATGCAAACTAATGCACATACCAACACAAATACGAAAATAAAGTTTAGAAAAATTAATAAATAACAAAAAAAAATGCATTTAAAAATTTTCAACAAAAAAAAAATAAAAGTTTAGAAAATTTTGTCAAGCATACAGTCATGTAACCTAAAATACTGATGCTATTTTCGTAGCATTAACTTATTAGTATAGTTAAAGTTATATCTGTTGCCCAACAAATTAATAGATATTTATAGCTACCACTACCAACGCTTGCATTGTAGACTGATTTCAATAGTACAGAAAAATTGCAACTAAACACTGTATCAGTTAATAAGTGAATCATAATTGAACAAAAGTTAACAGTTAAGTCAACGAAACTAATCTTAAAGTAAAACGTCTAACAGTTGGCCGTAAAATTTTGCCGAGTCATGGCTGAGAATCAATACGGAACTAGTGATCCGATACAAACTGATGAACCAGTTTTGGCTAAATATCCATTCGATACGCCCGACGCTCCCGGAGTTCCTAAAGCTATTGACACGAGTGACGATTCGGTTACACTTAAGTGGACTAAACCTCGCAATGACGGCGGATCCCCAATTACTGGGTATGTCCTCGAAAAGCGGAAGGTTGGCGATAAAGACTGGACTCGCAGTCACGTCGGCATTATAGCTGACCTCACTTACAAAGTTTCAGGACTTGAAAACAATGAGGAATATGAGTTCCGAGTGGCCGCACGAAATGCCGCCGGTCAGGGGGCTTTCAGTTATGCCTCCGATGCCATTATTGCTCACCGACCGCCAACAGCACCCAAAATCGATGCCGACTTTACAGTGAAAGACATTGTTTTAATGGCTGGCGAACAGTTCAGACTTAGAATACCATTTAGTGGTTCGCCGACACCGAAGGTTGAATGGACTGCAAACGGAACCGTTATTTTGCCGGACGATAGAGTGACCTCAGAAGTGAACGAGTGTTTCACAATTTTGCTCAACAGAAAAGCCAAACGCAAAGACGGCGGCAAATGTGGCGTCAAATTGACTAACACTGAGGGAAGTGATTCACCCTTCTGTAAAGTACTGGTCGTTGACGTTCCCGGCTTACCTCAAGGACCGCTTGAAGTGATTGATGTGACGCCTGAGACCTGCTCTTTGACGTGGAAACCACCGCTCGATGACGGGGGCAGTCCTATCACTAATTACATCATCGAAAAACAGGACCAAACAACTAAACAATGGATTAAAGTGAGCGCTTTTGTACGCAAATGTCATTACGAAGTGATTGGTTTGGAACCAAACAAAGTCTATCACTTCCGAGTAAGTGCTGAGAACCAGTACGGCGTCAGTAAACCACTTGAAACGGATCGACCCATTACTGCTAAGTTTCTGCTCAACACTCCCGACGCACCCGGAAAACCAACGATCACTGATTCCACCAAAAATACGGCGAGTCTTAGTTGGGAACGACCGTACAGTGACGGCGGTTTCAAAATACAGGGCTATTGTGTGGAATACAAGGAACCGACTGATAGTAGATGGCTTATTGGCAATGAATTTCTTGTCAAGGACACCAACTTTACAATCTGTGGACTCATTGAAGGCAAAGAGTATGAGTTCCGTATTAAAGCCAAGAACGCCGCCGGTTTGGGTAAACCGAGTCCGCCGTCGGCCACATTCAGAATGAAGGGTAAGGGAGCCGAACCATCGCCGCCGCAGAATCTTCACGTCAAGAAGGTTGGTAAAACATATATCGACCTCAAGTGGGAACCGCCGAGAAGTGACGGCGGATCCAAGATTACTGGTTACGTTGTCGAACGTAAAGAACATAACAGCAGTTATTGGATAAAAGTTAATGAATACGGATGTCTTGATTGTGAACATACTGTTCTCAACCTGACCACTGATAATGAGTATGACTTCAGAGTCAGTGCCGTCAACAGCTCCGGTAAGAGTGAGCCGTGTCTTATGAGTAAATCAGTCAAAGAACAGAAGATCACCGGCAGAGCCAAACCAGAGTTTGTACGCAAACTATTCAACAAAAGCACTACTCTTAAGTCAGAGATGACACTCGAGTGCGAAGCCATAGGAAAACCGGTGCCCACAAGCAGATGGTTCCGCAACGGCAGAGAACTTCACACCAGAAGAATCAGATCAGTCGATACTGAAGAAGGAGTTTTTAAATTAATATTTTCCGAAGTCTTGGGTACAGACGAAGGCGACTACACTTGTGAAGCGGTCAACGCTTTGGGCACCGATAGGTGAAGTGCTTCGGTGACTATTGCAGCGCCGCCTCAAAACATTAAGTGTCCGAATGAAGTGTATTTCCCAGAAAAAGACAACTCAAAGATTAAGATATATCTCTCGGGTTTGTCTCCATTCGATGTCTCGCTATATAAGGACGGACTCGAAGTCAAAGAATCGGATCACTTGCGGTTCACTGTATTCAACGAATATTTGTATTTTTCAAAGATGTCAACAAATCGGATGAAACGAAGTATAAGATTATGGTTAAGAACGACTCCGGACAGACTGACGCCATAGTTCAGGTGTTTGTCAATGATCTGCTTGGTAAGCCAACCGGTCCTCTGGATGTCACTGATATCAACAAGAGTTCGGCGACTATTTCGTGGAAACCACCTAAATATGACGACGGATGTAAAATAACACATTATATCATTGAACGAAAAGAGACGATACATAATCAATGGGTTGCGGCTACCTCTTTCTGTAAGGACACCACTTTTACGTGTCAGGGATTGAATAAGGGCGGAGAGTATCTCTTCAGAGTTATGGCCGTCAACGAGAACGGACAAAGCGAACCATTAGTCGGCAAAAATCCTATCGTTGCTAAACCACCCTACGATAAGCCGTCGGCACCGGGAGTACCAAATAAAACCGATATTAGCGGCGATTTTGTTAACCTTCATTGGGAGAAACCACAATCGGATGGCGGATTTAGAATTCAGAGCTATATTGTCGAGAAACGAGAGACAGGATCGGAAGCCTGGCAAAGAGTTAACGTTGCGTACTGTCCTTCAACACAAATCAATATAATTAATCTAATCAAAGACCGACAGTACGAGTTCAAAGTATTTGCCGTCAACGATGCCGGCCTCTGTCCTTCCTTACAGAACACCGGATACATTAAAATCAAAAACTTAAGAATCACTCATCCAGTGTTTATTATTGTACAAAAAAAAAGGATGGCCGTCGAGAATAAAAACACAATATTTACTTGTACTGTAATGGGTGTTCCCAAACCAGCAATTACGTCTTTTAAAGGAGTCGAAGAGTTATATGACAGCGGAAAGTATAGTATGATTAAAGACGGGGACACTTATACATTAACCATATTTGAAGTTTTCGGAAAAAACGCCGATGAAGAAAAGATTGAAATCGGCGATCACTTTGAAGTCGAAGTTAGGGAAAGGCACGCAATTCTAACAACACAAGGGGTATCCAAACTGGACTCCGGCCCCTACAATACGACCTCTAAGCATGAGCTGGGTATTGACTCGAAAGTTATTAAAATGCAAATCAGTGACTGTCCGGATTTGCCGCGATTCCCAATTGTCGAACTGGTAGGCGACGACTTCGTGACCCTCTCATGGAAGGCACCCCTGTGGGACGGGGGCTCAACCATCACTAACTATATTAATGAGAAAAGGGAACCAACAATAGATAGTTGGGTCCTATGCGGAACCACCAGGTTTTTGATGTATCAGATAACAGGACTTAACCCCAATCGCGACTATGTATTCCGAGTGTTCGCCGAAAATATGTTCGGAAAGAGTGGACCGTCGGAAAAGACACAGAAAATCACGACCAAACCATCAGAAAAGGATAGACGACGTAAAGGTTGTCAAACGGACGACTCGGGTCGTAGAATACGTGGAAAAGAAGAAATGAACAAAGAATCAGTTGCCGTTAAAAAGTCAACTAAAGAGGAGGAATCCATTACTGTTAAAAACACTGTCGAAGACAAACCAAAACAATCGATTATTAAAAAAGACGTGATAGAAGAAAAAAGAAAGGGCTCTATTGTTATTGAAGAACCAAAGAAAAAGTTATCACTGAAGAAATCTCGCGAAAAAACTCCACAACCGACCGATACCGGAGCGAAACAGAAGACCACTAAAGAGGTCAAAGAAAATGAAATGGAAATCAAAAAGACAACTATAATCGATGACAAAAGAAAGGATTCAATTACTGTTGAAAAACCGAAAAAACGACTTTCAATTGAGAAATCACGTGAAAAGACGCCGACAGATAATGGAGTCAAACAATTACAAAAAGATGATATCGGAGAGTATAGCGTGGCATCGGATAAGGGTATTGAATGCAGTTGTAATGTGGAAGTCAAAGAGGTAGAGAAGAAACCGGAGCTACGATTAACACAAACTGACTATCAGGTAGACGCTAACCATCTGTTCAGTATAGAGATTCCGTACAAAGTTCAAGGAACCCGTACTTCTAATGTTTTACCGAAACTGATGCGCAATGGAGAGCCTGTCAGTACTAAAGATGTTGATATTGTTATAAAAGAAGACAAAATTATAATAACATTTAAGAAACCGACGCGTGAGAGCTCAGGTCCGTATGATTTCAGTTTAGGCAACAGTCAGGGCGAGTCTAAGACACCGCTTAAGTTTAACTTTGTGGACGTGCCGTCACCTCCAGAGGGATCGTTGGATGTGACCGATGTGTTCCGCGATCGCTGCAAACTGGCGTGGAATCCAACCAAAGATACTGGAGGTCTACCTCCATTGTATTATGTCGTCGAACGACAAGATTTATCAATGAGAGGCGGTTGGGTTGAAGTGGGAACCACTCCCGACTGCAATATGGATGTCACAGATTTGGCGCATAAGAAAGAGTATAAATTCCGTGTCCGTGCCGTCAACAAGAAGGGTGCGTCCGAACCATTGACTGCACCGAAAACTTATTTGGCAGAAGATCCGTACGACGAACCATCCAAACCTAAAGGCGTGGAGATTGTCGACTGGGATAGGGATCACGTGGACCTCAAATGGAAAGCACCCGAAAAAGATGGCGGAGCACCCATTGAAAAATATATTGTTGAATCAAAAGATAAACTCTCAGCCGATTGGGTCACAGCACTGGAAGTGTCAGGCAATCAATTAGAAGGAAAAGTAGTTCCGCCAGCTATTAAAGAGGGCCAACAATACCAGTTCCGAGTTCGAGCCATCAATAAGGCCGGTCCTTCCGAACCCAGTGATCCGACTAAAAACTTGATAGTAAAGGCACGGTTTGTCAAACCTTTTATTATTGGTGACGATCTCAAGAATTTGGTGGTCAAGAAGGGCGCTATTATTAAGTATGATATTCAGTACGGCGGAGAACCGGCACCTGAGGTCAAGTGGGCTATCAATTGCGTGGATATCAAGCAATCGAGTCGTATATCAATTGAAAACACACCAAAAAATACATTATTACTGATAAAACAAGCCGTGAGAGCAGATTCCGGCAAATTTACATTGACTTTGACTAACGGTTCCGGCACTATATCCAAATGTGCTGATGTAGTAGTTCTCGATAAGCCTACTCCTCCTGAGGGCCCACTTGTTGTTGAAGTGGTATTCACCGAGTCGGCTAAACTCAAATGGAAACAACCAAAAGATTTGGGCAGATCTGAACTCAAGGGATACCAAATCGAGAAAATGGATGTCGACAGCGGTCGGTGGGTACCGGTTGGTGAAGTCGGACCCAATGCCAACAGTTTTAAATGTGAAGGTCTAACCAGAGTCAAGAAATATAAATTTAGAGTTAAAGCCATCAATAAAGAGGGAGAGTCTGAACCGCTAGAAACAGACGGACCCATTGTGGCGAAGAATCCATTAGAAGAACCATCGAAACCAGGAAACCCAGAAGTTGTTGACTACGATAATACAAAAGTTGACCTCAAATGGACAGCGCCTGAAAAAGACGGCGGAAGACCTGTTGAGTGTTATATCGTTGAAATAAAAGTCAAGTTTTGCAACGACTGGAAAGAAGTGCTTCGAACACCTTATGCCAAACCAGAAGTCTCTGTTAAGGGACTCAAAGAGAACTCATCCGTTCAGTTCAAGGTTAAGGGCGTCAATATTGCCGGTCCGGGAGAGCCCAGTGAAGCCACTGAACCACATGTTGTAAAAGACAGAAACCAAAAGCCATATATTGATAGAACTAATCTGAAGAATACAACCATCAAAGCGGATCGTTCTCACATATATGATGACGACAGAGGTGAACCGCCGACGACTGTTGTCAAGACTTTCAGTAACGACAGCATCAAACTATCGGACAATTTGAACATTAAGATCGAGAATATTGACTATCACTCGGAACTGACTGTATCAAAAGCTACGCGAGAGCAGTCGGGAAAGTATAAGACTACGGCTACCAATAGAAACGTTAGCGATTCGGTTGAAGTCGAACTCACAGTACTGGCCGCTCCTTCTAGACCTGAAGGACCTCTTGAGGTGACTGATGTACACAAGGAGGGCTGTAAATTGAAACGGAAACCATACGATGACGGAGGAACTCCTATTGGATGCTATGAAGTGAAGAAAATGGATGAAGAAACTGGTCGATGGGTTCCGTGCGATAAAACTAAGGATTGTCAGATGCAAGTGTCAAATTTGGTTCCCGAAAGAAAATATAAGTTGCAGGCCGTCAAAAAAAAGGCGACTTAGAAGAACTCGAAACGGATCACTCGACAGTGACTGAGAATCCGTTCGATGATCCGCCGAAACCGGAACGAAACGAACCACTTAATACTTATGAAAAAAGGAAATATATCGTTAAAAATACAAAAATACCACAATTAGACGGCTACAACGGTGATGACAGTGATAATCCTACAATATTGACACAACCAGATGAAAACCCGGCCAAACGAAAAAGAGAAGAAGAAAATCCAATAGTAGACGAAAACAAAATTTTGTCTAAAAGACAAAATTTATGCAATGTATTGGATAAGGTGCTACAATCGACAATACCCGTCGACACAGATACTAAACCCTCAACAACTAGCGTCGATGTCAGCATTCCAAGAATTGCTAACTCAAGTAATCAAGTCGTGTCCAAAACAATAACGAATAATAATCTATTTTCAAATCCTCAAAGAAAAATTCTAAAAGAATTTTACGATACCAACGCATACCCGTCGTCGGTCGATTATGATTACTTATCCAAACTACTGAATCGTAGCCGAAAATCGATTAGCAGTTGGTTTAGAAGCACCAGATATAAAGTCCGCAATATTAATAAAACAGCGGGAAATAAAATCCAATCAGAAGACAACCATCTGGCAAATGGTGCTGAACAAGTCAATTGTCTAAACTCCAGCCAGAATAGCGATAATAATATCCACACGCAACCAACTAATGACACGACACAACAGGGAAGTCAATTCATTGAAGTCAATGGCGAACGACACACAATTGTATCATTGGCCCAAAACCCGGAGAACCACGAGTTTCTCCTAATCCTAAGACGAGCAAGTGGCGAACACTTTGGCATTCATGCTGAAAGGGTTAGACCAGCCGTCGATGCGATTGAGTCAATATTGGTAACTGAAACCATAGACATCAGCTCCTCTGCAATTAAAACCGATAAAAATAATACATTGACCACCACATCAGAAACAACTACTAGTAGTCAATCGGCTAGTAAGTCACTAACTAGTATTGATACCAAATTGGTTCAACCCTCCGAATCAATCTCGTCACCAATTGAAGTAGAAGATAGTGAAGAAGTGATTACTAAGAAAGTAGACACAATTAAAGTCACCGGCGTCGCCGGCTTATCTCCTAAGCAGATAGAGCAATTGAATTGTGATATTCAAGTATCCTGTTTAAGAAAGAAAACTGTACTCATTGACAAATTGAGATGTCTATGGGGGCAAATCACATGCAGTGGCGGAGTGTATACCAAAGTAGAACCAGAGCTGGTATCTAGCGAATCCATGTCACCAACACCGAAAATTTCAGATGAAACTAAACACCAACTACCACTAAAATTCCCAATGACTGTCCAACAACTCGATGACAACACTGTACTTTTATGTTGGAAGAAAATTTTATCAAAATACGAAAATGACAACCCCGTATATAATGTGGAGATTAAGGATTATACGCAAGGGGTATGGACCCACATAGAATACTGTGATTTCCATATGACTCACGTTTCCAACATACGATATGGTCGACAATATCAATTCCGGATGACCACAAAAGACAAACACGGGACACCATTTCTCGCATTAAGCCGACTTTATCAGTTACCGGAAGAGTACAGACGGTTAGCCAAGAAAATTACCCATAATAATAAAATAGAAGCAAAAACATCATCTTCTTTTGTGACAACAACAAGAGACGCCGCTACACAGTTCTCTAGTTGCATTAAACCGGGGAAACCTTTCGTTAGGAAAATTGATGACAAACACATCCGACTGGTGTGGGAGATGCCGGAGTCAATGGGCGATTGTGAATTCATAATTCAAATGAAACAAGAGGATCAAGACTTCTGGTCACGAGCTAACTTTGAGATCCAGAAGAAGCCGTATTTTAATTATCCAATAATCGATTCACGGATAAAAGTTGAATTTCGCGTAATTGCCATTACCGAAGACGGAGAAAAAGAACCGAGTGAGTCAACAGGACTCCTTGGTTGTTATGTTTCCAACAACGATGGTTGGGTAGATGTTGAGTAAACGGGAAATCTGCAGACGCGTCTTGTGCAGTCAAAGCTGACCGCCCGCAGATAACCTGTTATTAGTTAATACTAGTTAATTTAATTATTTTATTTGTTTGAATGATTAATTTAAATTTTAACCTAATACATACACAAAGACATTTTACACAAAAACAGAACACATTTGTTATTTATCAGTATCTTGTATAACAGGATGTTGATAGGATAACGATTTCGCAGAGGGTTCATCAGAGCCCTGAGTTATTCAGTACTGAAGAAACTGTATGTGAACCTTCGTGGTGTCCTTACATTAAGCGCATCGCATTGAAGACGTTCAATGCGTTATAAGTCGTGGTCGACTTAATTGGATATTAGGTCGATGTCATTTGTCGATAGGAAGGTGGCCTGATCGACGATTTAATATCGATATCGATAACCGACTAGAAGAGGCGTTCGACGTCGGATTTTTATATACACGTGTTGTTTTGAATTCAGAAAACGCATGCGATTGTACTCTATTTAATCTATCCTTTTTAATCTGATGTATTTTTAATTTTAAGTCGATCGGGGACGATCGACAATGGTTGGGTGGCGATTGTAACAGTATTTGGTACGTAATAGCTTAATCATTAGATTAAAGACTTATTTAGTAAGGTATGTAAACCGATGTCCCGTCCTACACCCGTATTTGGACCGACGACAGGGTTGATGCGCACAACTCGGTTGTCGGTCTGGTATAATTAGGTGGGTAGTCGTTGAGGACGGGGGGCAGAAGCAGAAGTACAGTAAACACAGTCAGTTGTTATGTAAAAGTCGGTTACAACCGTTACCCAACATTTTGCTGATTATAATTGTTGTAAAATTGCTATTAATTGTGTTGAAAATAAATATTACAATTATGAGTGAGTGTGACTAATTAATTAACAACTAGCCAACGATCAGCAGTCGGTTGGACGACCGGGAGCCCGCACCAGGACCGCCGCCCACCCACAGGAGGCGAAGCAGATTTTCATTCAAGTAGCCAACAATGTCTGGCCAGCGGAAAGCGAGATTGCCGACACCGTTGACTATTTTAATATATATATATAACTAATTATTAATAATTATATTATCAATTATTATTATTATTATAACTATTGTAGTTTATTTGAAAATTATTTATTTAACAAGTGTATTTAATTTAATTTTGTATAATAATTATTTTTTATATATATATTTGTATATAACTATTATAGCTTAGGTTAAATAATTAAGTTATTATTGTTATTACATAACTTTTATTACTAAATTTATTATGTATTATACAAATATAATATATTATTATATAAAATGTATAATTAAATTTGTTTTCTAATACTATAATAATAATAATAATAATAAAAATTAACTTTTAAAATATTAAATTATTATTCTCATTATTCTACTTAATGTATTATAATAATATATACTAGTAATAAAAATTAATTAATTATTATTAGTATTTAAAAAAACTAATAATAATAATAAATATATGTTTATTGGAAATTAGGTGCAAATAAATACTTTTTAATTATAATATTAATACAAAAATAATAATAATATATTATACTGTTATTTGTTGTTTTAATTAGTTGTTATTAAACTAATAAAATAATTTAATGATTATGTTATTAATTTTGAAAACATTTTGAAATTGTTTTGTGAATAATATATATATAACATTAATATTTTAAAAACTTTAAAAGTTATTTTTGTAATTGTATTTGAAATAATATATATAAAGACAATAAAAATAATTTTATTTTCAAATAAAAAAAATGCCTAAATTTTCAGCCAATAAGTTATTGCCGGCAAATATGTTATACAACGGGTCGGCCTATCATTTATACCGAATCGGCTTAAGTAACCATCGATTAGTAGCCGCCGATGATTGTTGTCCTCAACAGAGACTATGGTTTAATCGACCGATAATTATAACAATTGTTTCATTGATTTATTTAACTCAACGACTAATCTGTCTATTTATCGATGAAAATACTAATCGTCTATTGTTTGCACTGTTAGGCGATTGGGGATACTTTTGGCAATTGAAAAAAATGTGCGATATTTATAACGGGTGGCTCATCAAGAGTTATTTTCAAAATACACCATTTATTTCAAAAATTATTAATTGAAATTTATTTTAAAAATATATATCTTATTTATGAATAAATGGGATTTCATATTTTAATAAATAAAATTTTTAAATTGGCGCCATTTTATGGCAATAAATTTACAAAGTTGCAAGTCAATTTTTTTCGAAACTTTTCTAGCATATTCTATAGAATATTTGTGTAGTTTTTCACGAAAAAGTTATACTATATATTTTTAATAAAATTTTAATTATTGTTAAAAATACATTTAGTTTCTTAAACATTATCATTAAAACTAGAAAGAACTTTAAAATTTTTAATTAATAATAAAATTTAAAATTTTGTAAATTATAATATTTTTAAAAATTCATAACTAAACATTGGCTTAATTTTTGAAAATTTTTTTTCTATTTATCAAACAAGTATCTATATCCATTTACACTGACATGATAACCAAAATTTTTTAAATAGAATATTTATACTTATTTAACTTTTAGTATAATTTTAGTTATGTTATGTACAGCCGCAATTTTGATTTTTTTAAATTTATTTTTTAAAAATAATAAACGCCAACTACCCCACACTAAATCTACATTAAAATATTTTTGCTTTTATTTAAAGTATAGAAATAGCGTTATTTTTAAAAAGATAATAGGTGTTGGGCCAGTCGTTACATCATTGATGACTATATTTATATTAGTATCAGAGTTATCCTATTTTTCAAACTATATGCTTGAAATAAATCCAACATTTATGCGGGTATTTGAAATGATGTCCGGTTTGCGGACACCACTGTCGGTCGGTCTAACCGATCGCCTGGAGATCCGGAAGCTTACGAAACGGATGCGATTGCTTTCAATGTATTGTCACTACAATAATACATATATAATAACACTATTAGTTAGTTTTGTTTTCATAAGCGGTTATTATTTACAACTATCCCTATTTGATACACTAGTCTATGGTATACCAAATGCGCTACTATTTTCACTATTTGTTTATTATTATTACTCTAA